CCCCCCCCCCCCCTCCTCTCCCCTGCCGGCAGGTAGTTCTTGAGGCAGCCTACCGGTAGCGGATCAGGTCGCAAGCTGCTATGAACAGAGCACTATTGAGAGAAAGAAAGATTGGGATCGGGATCGGGATCGGGATCGGGATCGCGGTAAGTGGAACCCAACCCTTTACTGTACCTCCTTCTCCCGCTGATTCTCCCCATTCACCACGCCGCCTACGGGTAGGTAGTCTTCGAGATAGCCTACCGGTACCGCATCAGGTCGCAGAGATCGGGATCGGGATCGGGATAGGGATCGGGGTAAGCGGAATGCCGACCCTTTTTTTTGTCCTTTTCCTCTCTGGATATGGGCTCCTGAAACCACCGTCTCGGTTCTTGTAGAGCAGCAGTCTATAGTCAGGGGGGCGGGGGGGCGGGGGGGAACCGCGAGTCCGTAAGTCTCTTCTTTCCCTCCTCCTCCTCCTCCTCGATTCCCTCCTCTCCTCCTCCTCCTCCCCCTTCCCTCCCCCCTCCCCGCTCCCGCTTTCCTTCTCTTCCCTTTTGCCCGTAGCTCTGCTGGATACATATGTAAGGCTCCATCTTACAAAAAAAAAAAAAAAAAAAAAACAGCTCCATCCATTGGCGGGATGAAGCACTTGCGGCCAGAGCTGGGTCCTGATCAGCGTCGTCCATTCAGAGTAGATCGGAGCCTTTCTTTTTTTCTTTTTTTTCTTTTTTTTTCTTTTTCAAGAAGATCCGACCGTGCAAGTAAGCAAAACGCATGCCAGACTCCACACACTGGCGCCAAGCCCTTGCTTGCCTGCCTTCCTGGAAAATGTCTGCACCCCGTGCACAAATGCTGCCCAGATCAGTTCCAGACCAAAGCATGCCAAATCTTCAAATGCACGAATCCTGTCCCGTTTGCAACATAGCACCACCACAAAAGACGGAGTTGCAGCCCTAAACGAATGCATGGATGTGGGGAGAGAGAGAGAGAGAGAGAGAGAGAGAGAGAGAGAGAGAGAGAGAGAGAGAGAGAGAGAGAGAGAGAGAG